AGACCAGATCTCCCTCATAGAGGTGATGACCTGGTGATGTATGATGGGATGTCGTGGAGTTGCTGATAGATGCTGGTTGATGGACTTCTGTGTGGGAATCATGAGAACTAGTATGATTGAATAAGATTGATGAAACATTTGACACATTACAAGTCAACATGTTTGCTAGACACGTTCTTCAAAACAACTAACATTTTCAAAAAAAAACACAGAAAACCACAAATCACAAAAACGCGTAAAAACCACACCCGCATAACGTCGTTTTCTGTATATTTATATACCTGAGAAGGGGGGACGAAAGCCAGCAGCCGCCAGACGAGTGTCTCTTTTCCTGGCGGGCGTCGCGGCACAAGACACATGGTCGGCAGCTTGCGAGTCAGCGGTGCCGCGGATGCGGGGGGGCGTGTGTAATGGTAATGGAGGGAGCAGAGAAGCAAGCCGGGCGGCTTTGGGATAAGTTTGGTATGAAAGAAATAGTGAAAGAGAAATGCGATACGTTGTATGTTGGTGTAGGTCATCATCACAAGGCAATGGCATGTGTTTGTCACACGCAGGAAGGTATGCATCCTATGGAAGTTGGAAGGCGACATCAGCGTTAGCGAAGGGGAAATACCGTCTGAGTTCGAGCGGTGGGATACCACGCGCGGCACGCGCGCGCGCGCAGGAAGACCTTCTCCATAGTCAGCGTCGCTGCGCGCGCGAGTACGGCATGCGTTTGAAAAGAAGCAATTATGCGTTTGTTACATTTGGAGTGATTGAAATTTGCAATGCATACTGCGGCACGTCGACAAGCGGCATTTTTTGATTTGGAAGAGTGAACGGGCACGTCTTAGCCGGGACACGGACGTTTGATCCCGCGGCGCAGAAGGGGAGGTCCAGTGGGAGTAGCTTGGGCTAGCAAAAGGAGTGGGGATTTGTGTCCCTATCGATGCACATGCCTGGACTTGAGTGAGTCATGTTCTGGCTCGATCCAAAACACAGTCCTTTTCCTTTAAAGGGGCCTTTATTAAACGATCCAAACACCTTCTCTATTCTTCTTTTTCTTATCAACTCTGTGCCTTTCTCACTCAGAGGCCTTGACTTTGGCACCTGCGTGTGTAGATCTTTGGGCCGTGGACCCAGGCTCACTGGATTCGGGCAGGGGGTGGCAGCAAAAAGGCGACATCATGAGTCAGTAGTATATAGAATTATCTATCTATCTATCTATCTATCTATCCGTCCATCTATCTACCTACCTCTCTCTCTCTCTATCTATCTATCTATCGATCGAACGATCTTTCTATCTATGTATCTATCTATCTATCTATCTGCACCGGCAAGCCGGAAAAACGTTCGGTGCGTGTGGACGCCCCGAGAAGCATCCACTCGACCGAGGACATGGTGCAAGTATAGGTTTTGCTAGGGCGCAGGAGCCCTATGCAGATATGTACTCAACCTCGCAGGCATCCCCACCGAAACTCAATCCAAATTCATGGGCTTGAGCTCATGTCACTTTCGGTTCTCTAAGGATTTCGCGAGTTGCGGGTTGTCCTGGGAGCTCGTATCCTACATGC